CCAGTGGTACTGCCTGTGTCCTGCCTCCCGCTTGCGCGGTGGCTTAGGCGACCTCTCACCCACATCTCCCCTGCTGGGCTGACATGCTGCTTCCTGTTGCCGGATAGACTAGGGATGGGAGAGAGGCAGGAGATGCTGGGCCAGGTACCCTCAGGAGGGCAGGCCAGGGGTTAGCCCCGTGGAGGGGAGGGCCTCAGTCACCAGCCAGAGAAAAGACTGCTGAGGAACTTAGCAGTGTCTCCTGTCTCTGTCTGGTCTGTGTGCCTCTTTGTTCCCTCAGCACCATCAGGAAGATGTTCTGGAGTTCCCCACTCTCTTTGTTTGCCTGGGGTGAGGGGAGAACTCTCTCTGACCTTAGAGAAGCCAAGGGGAGCCCTGAGCACTCACAGAACCCTCTCGCCGCCTCTGCCTTCTCTGTTAAGATTTTGTTTGTGAGTGGGGCCAACAGAACAGGGCATTGTTCTCCTGTCCTGGGCCTGGCAGCCCTAGTCCTGTTCTCAGCACACTCTGGCACACCACTCTTTTGCCTGCCTTCTTGTTGGCCCTCTCTGGCGGGATCTGCTCTGACCACTCCACGCTGAGACACCTGTTTAATAAACAGGCTGGCCTGGGCTGGGCTGGCTGCACTCTAGACTGAGCAGGGGACACCTTGGGGTTTGGCATTTCCTAGATTGGTCCCTTTCCAGCCTGGGTATGAGTAGGTATTTATTGTGACCAAGATTTGTGTGGACTGTTTATTGCTAACAGAAGTCTAGGCTTCCTGGATGTTTAGTATCCTCCCACATTAGGGACACTCAAGCCCCCCCCCCCCGGAAAATATCCTGATCCCCAACTCCCACATCCTTTGCAGCTAGACATCACTTTCTGGAGGCAGGTGAGCAGAGGCCCGGTGGCCCCGTTAGCAGGACTTTAAGAACAGATACCGGTGGCTTGAAGTACCAGTCCCTGCTCCGGGATGTGACTCTAGCATGAAGGAAGGAAGGATAGACAACCCTTCCTTCTACCCCAGCCCCTCTCCTCGGACACCCCGCATCTAGCTGCAGACCGAACAGATCTTCAAATAACCTCAGATATTTGTCCCCATGTGCTTACTTCTACCAAATCAGGAGGCTGCAGATGCCTTGGGATTTGAATTTATTTTTTAAACCATTTGAGTCATTGATGTTTTTCTTTTTTTTTAACAGGGATTTGAATTTTTAAAGTCACATTCAGTTATTTGTGTGTGTGTGCGCGCACTCGCATGTGCATGCACATCTGTGTGAAGAGCATGAGTCACGTTGTGCGTGGGGAAGGCAGAGAACAGCTTCAGGAGCTGGCTCTTCTCTCCCACTATGAGTCCTGGGTTAGCAAAGTCAGGCTGTCAGGCTTGGTGGCAAGTGCCTTCATCTGCTGAGCCATCTCACTGGCCCATTTTAGGATTAAAAAGATTGTTTTTAAAGATTTATTTTATGTGTATAAATATTTTGCCTGAATGTAGTTATGTGCAGCACATGTGTGCTGGTGCCGTTGGAGGTCAGAAGGTAGCATTGGATCCTCTAGAGCTTGAATCTCAGCAGTTGTGAGCCGCCGTGTGGGTGCTGGGAACTGAGCCTAAGTCCTCTACAAGAGCAGTATGTGCTCTAACCACTGAGCAATCTCTCCAGCCCTTAAGATTTTGTTTTAATTCTCTGCAGTGCTGAGAATTGAACCTAGGACCTGCTGCTGTAGCTCTGAGCCACACCCCAGCCAGTGCCTTGGGATTTTATCTTCTGTCTCTTGATAAGAAGAGTTATGGAGGCCAGGCATGGTGGTGCATACTTTTAATCTAAGCGCTTCAAAGGCAGAGGCAGGCAGATCCCTGAGTTTGAAGCCAGCCTAGTCTATAATTTGAGTTCCAGGATAGCCAGGGCTACATAGAGAAACCCTGTCTCAAACAAAAAAAACAAAAACAAAAAGACTTTGTGGAACTCCGTGGAAGAGTGCCTCTCAATGGGCTGTACTGGTCTTGTCTTCCCCCTCCCCCCCAAAAAAAATTCCTCCCTGTTCCATGTTACCAGAGAACTCACAGCACTTGCCGTTCTTGAGACCCTGCATGGCCACGGTCAGGCCTCCCAGGCTGGTGTGCCTCCTCCACTTGTCCATTCTGTCTCATCTGTGCTGGCCAGTTCATACCTGTGTGATTGCCTGGAAATGCTCCTTGCTGGCTGCAGGCCCTGTCCCCTACTGCAGGTCCAGTTCCTGTTCTGCTGGCAGGGCTGACACCTGAAACCAGCCTCTTCCCTTCCAGGAGCTGCCTCACACCTGCCAGCCACAACAACTCATGGGCCCAGCGGGCCCAGGGAACCCTGCTTGCCGTGTGTTTGGCTATCAGTGTGGAAGATGTCTTGGAAAAGGGATTGAAAGTGGCAGGAGCCGCTGTCTGGCCTGAAAGGCCTTGTTTGTGTAGGCTCAGGGTGTTAACCTGTGGCTCTGAGCTCCCTAAATCCCTCTGTCTTCAGCGTGGTTCCCCTCTTGATCCTTTTGGCCACTGGGATCTGATTCATTATTTCCACTCATTCAGTAAAGAGCTCCAGTGGCCAGGGCCCACTGAGATACTACTACACCATAGCCAGAAGACAGTTCCTAGCCTCAGACTCAGCCCAGGAGCAACCAAACCCTCACTCATGCCGTCACATGTTGCTTGCCACAATGGAAAGCTGCCATCCTATTAAATCACCCCCATCTGAGCCCCAGTAAGACGGACACTAGCAGGGCAGTGACAGTACTTCCCACGCACTTTGCATGCCTGTTGGGAGCTCTAGAACGCTGTTTTTTCTCCCCTGATAGTCCCCAAAGCTCTAGAGGTATATTCAACCATGCCTAGGTAACAGATAAGGAAATCAACAAAGCGAGATCAAGTCACATTTCCAAGGATCTACATCATGAAGCAGGGGAAGGGAAGTTAGAGTCCAGAGGCAGGTCGGCCACTGTGGTCTCTGAATGCCCCTAGCAGGTCTCATTGGTCAGAGGAGGTTGGCAAGTGCTTTCTTTCCAGTTAACTTGGGTGGCTCTGCGAGGCCTGAGGGCTTTGCAGTCCTCAGCCGAGCAGCCCTGGCGGCCAGAGGGCTGCAGCTGGGAGGTGGACAGTTAGCCTGGCTTTTTGGTGGAGCCGCGCTTGCTTCTGCAGGATTAGTCAGCGTCACTGTGGAGTGGTTCCGGAAGGAGAGGTCCCCGTCCCATTCCCAGCCTGTCCCCACCTACCTCCCTTCCCTTCTGTGCTGTTTTGACTCTGGTCTGCAGGTGTTGCTGAGGCGACAGGCAATGGGAGGGGGTGGCCCTCAACACAGTGACTACAGCGAGAGCAGTGGGAAGTGCTTTTCTGTAAAGGGAAGAAAATAACTGCCAATAGCACAACAAAAACTCAGGCTGGGAGTGAAGCTACGTGGTGGGTAGCTGTGGGCCTGCGGTCAGTCCCCAGCACACAGAGGTGGGAGGTACTGGGAAGTGCTGGAGTGGGAGATGGCCCACGGCGTGTGCTGCACACGCTTGAGAAGTCCAGGCCCATTCAGCCTGGCCTGAGATCCAGCAGGGTGCGGTGGCGCACACCTCTGCTCCCAGGAGGCCAGCCCGCTCTACCAGCCAAGTCCAGGACAGCCAAGACTACGCAGAGAAACCCTGTCTGGGAAAACAAAAACAAAAACACCCCCCCCAAAAAAACCCAAAAACCAAACACCCTCGCAGAGCTCTGCTGCCCCTGCCCCCACTTCCCAGAGTGCTGGGATTGCAGGCGTGCACCATTGCACCCGGCTTTCTTTTCTTTCTTTTTTTTTTTTTTTGAGACGGTGTACGAAGATCCGTCCACTTGCCTCTGTGTCCCGGGTGCCGGCATTAACGGCACGGCCGATGCTACCTGGCCGAAATGGCGGTTTTTTGAGACAGGGTGTCACTCTGGAGCCCAGATGCCCTGTGTCTGTGCATTACGTGCATGAGTGTGCTCATGCACACAGCATATAGGTGTGTGCGCATGTCCATGTGTGTGCATAAAATGTGGAGACAGCCCTAGTTGCTCTTTCTTTGGGAGCTGTCCACCTCGGCTTTTGTTATTGTTCGAAACAGGGTTTCTTACTCGCATGGAATTTGGCAAGTAATGTTAGACTGACTGACCACTGAGCCCCAAGGATTCACCTTTCTCTGCCTCCCCCTTTTGACACCATGTCCAAAGTTAATTAATTAATTTCCTTCCTTTATTTCCTTCTTTCCTTCTTTCTTGACAGGGTTTCTCTGTGTAGCCTTGGCTGTCCTAGACTCACTTTGTACACCAGGTTGGCCTCGAACTCAGAGAGAGCCTCCTGCTTCTTCTTCCTGAGTGCTGGGATTAAAGGTCTGTGCCAGTGTGCACAGCTTCAGCCCTACTGTATTACATTTGTTTAGTGTGTGCGCGCGCGTGTGTACATGCATAGCACAGTAGATAAGCAGAAGTCATAGGAAAGCTTTTGGGAGTTGGCCTCACCTCCCAACACATGTGTCCTGGGGATCCAATTCAGGTCATCAGGCTTGGTGGCAGGTGCCTTTACCTGCTGAGCCATCTTGTCCCACCACCCGCTTGCCCTTTTGATGCAGGGTCTGGTGTAGCCTGGCCTGCCCTCGGACTCCTCGTCTGTGGATGACTCTGAGCCCTGATCCCCCTCCTGGCTCAGACCTGGGAGTGTCTGCCTCCAGGTGCTGAGATAATAGGCACCCGCCGTCATGCTAGAATGGGAATCTTATCTGGGACTAATGATTGCGTCAAGGGACACAGGAAGCCCTCTGAGGGAAGAATGCCTTCTTCATTGGACTCTTGGTTCTGTGGTTTCTACAAATGTTAGAAACATCTGCACTGTTGCTGCAGGGGGTCTGGGAGAACAAGCCACGTCTCGTCAGTTGCCAGAGCTGTGCGGCACTGGGGGCGAGCTTTGGCCTTCTCGGTGGTATAATTCTGAAGGTGCGCCTGGCTCTTGAGTGTCTGGGGATGCCTACCGTGCTCTCTGTCTTTACACACACAGAAAACGTCACGAACGGCACAGTCGGGAGCACTGCGGAGCCAGAGCACGAGGAGGTGAGCCTGATGAATGGCTGGCTCAGCTGTAAGGCCCAGGATGAGATCCTGAACTTGGCGTTCACCGTGGGCTCCTTCCTGCTCAGTGCCATCACCCTGCCCCTGGGCATCATCATGGACAAGTATGGGCCACGGAAACTCAGGCTGCTGGGCAGGTCAGTATGGGTTCCTTGAGGCAGGATGAGGCTAGGTCCTAGCTTGAGCTGCATTCCCTGCTGACTGGAATCTTGGAATGTGTTAGCAGGTGCACCCTGGGGCTCTCTAAATACCTGCCTGGGGCAGGGTTACCACACTGTCTGGCACAGAATCACTTGATTCTGTGATCCTCAGTGTGTTCTGCATGCACTTCTGCGTGCAGCCAGAGGGCGTGAGCCCATCTGGGAGGCCCTCAACGTGCTTGTCCTTAACATTAGCTTTTGGGGCCTTTGAGATGGTCCATCAGGTAAAGACGCTTTGCCCCCAAGCCTGATGATCATTGTTCTGTGCAGGGAACCTGCATGGTAGAAGGCAGAGTTGCAAGTTGTCCTCTGACCCCTATACTCGTGCCATGGGATGCGCACACCGACACATGTGTGCCCCTACACACACTAAATAAAATAAACAGAATAGAGCTTTGGTTTCCAGAGACTTCTGGCCTTATAATTCCTCCAGAAAAAAAGTTTCTGAGCATACATAAATATATGCAAATGTAAATTAGTTATTCATGCATTAATCTTCCTCCTCCTGTGCGTGCGTGTGTGTGTGTGTGTGTGTGTGTGTGTGTGTGTGTGTGTGTGTGTAGGGGGATGAGAGTTGCTACATGTTAAAATCTGCCTAATGTGTGCTGGGTAAGTGTTCTATACCTACTTTACAGCCCATACATGCCATTCGTAATATTATTAGAGTACTTGCCTAACGTGTGCACAGCCCTGGGTTCTAATCCCAGCACTGCAAAACAAAACAAAAAAACAACTAAGAATAAAGTTAATCAATTAGTTAAAGTGTTTTTGCAGACAGGGTTTCTCTGAGTAGGCCTGGGAGTCTTGGAACTCCCTCTGTAGACCAGGCTGGCCTTGAATCAGAGATCTGCCTGCCTCTGCCTCCTGAGTGCTGGGACTAAAGGCAAGCACCACCACAGCCTGGCAGAATTAATGACATTTTAACAATTACAAAATGAGGCTGAGGATGCAGCTCAGTGGTTGAGCACTTGTGTAGCACATGAGCGACCCACGGTTCAATTCTCAGCACAGAAAAATGTCGTCATGGATCAGCATCCTCTGGATTATCATGCACACCTCAGGAGGCATATTTCCCAGGTCTCATTAGAACTGTTAGTAACGATTATAAACATTTTGAAGTGCCACATAGTAATTGCCCCCATGTAACTCAACACTGAAAGCAATTGCTGTTGTCGTATAATTGTGCGCTTTCTGTTTGGTTGTAGTGCCTGCTTTGCTGTCTCCTGCTTGCTGATTGCATATGGAGCAAGTAGCCCAGACTGTGAGTACGACTTTCTTCCTTTTTGCCAGAAACTGGGGAGAGCGCCATCATACACAGGTGTTGACTGGCCCACCTGCTCCTGGATGGTGATGTGTATGATCTCTGTATACATCATACATACCACATACACACACGTACCATACATCATGTATATGATATATGTGTAACAACTATATTAGGCCTGGTGTCACCTGTTCAAGCCAGAAGGGTAATCTCCTGGGTGGCTGTGGCAGCTTTCTGGTGGTCTGTTACCTAGGATTTAGCTCTTTCAACTGCATGGCTAGTAAGAGAACAACCATCCCAAGCAAATGTGTGGGAGTTGTTTCCAGGGTGTATGAGGCTCTTATCTCATCCCCAAGCCACAAACCTGTGAGTGGTAGCCTCATTGATGCCACTTTAAAGACAAGCTTTACGGACCAGGCCAGCTACATGCCTTTCATGGTGCAGAAATGGTAGGCTGAGCCTTCTGCTCTTCCTCCTCTTTTTTTTTTTTTTTTCCTTCAGTACGGGAAACTGAACCCAGGGCATGCAAATGCCAGTCTAGCCCTCTACCACTGAGCAAATATGCACGGCACTTGGACACTTGAGGCTGAGGTAGCTAGCCCAAGCTTGTCTCAAGCTTGCTGTCCTCCAGCTTCAGCCTGAGGGCTGGGATTACAGGCCTGATGCATCACACCCAGCTGAGTTGAGCCCTCAAGGCAGCCTAGGCCAGCCCTTGAAAAACAGCCTAGGAAATACCTGGACTCCATCCCCAGTCAGGGAGTATGAGGGCTTTTAATAACAACTCCAAAATAGAACCTGAATTTCACTACGGTCTTTTCCAGGCTCATTCACTGATTTTCAGGAACCTGGGGTTTTGGTAACTGAGCAGCTTTTGGGGGGCCATTTGATTACTGCTAGATTAACAGAGGAAAGAGAGAGGTCATCCATTTTGCTAGAACTCAAGCTCCATGAGGTAGGCAGAGGGATGAGGGCGAGAAAGAGAATGTTCTTCAGGGGTCATTAACCCTTGATGGCTTGTCCTTTAGTTTAGCTTGTCTGTAGCCTTCTGGGCTTGGGCTCCCTGGGTTCCTCTACTGATGACGTTCTGTCTGCCCACAGCGCTCTCCGTGCTCATCTTCATTGCCTTGGCTCTGAACGGCTTTGGGGGGATGTGCATGACGTTCACCTCGCTAACAGTAAGTACTGGCTCGTTAAGGAACGTTTCCAGCCGAAAAACCGTGAATTTGGGGCATGTGTGTTGGTTTCTAGGTCCTCTCCTTCCATTCTCCCATATAAATGCTTGGATGTCCCAGGCAGTGTAGGGGCTGTTTCTGCAGTAGCCTGATGGCAGAGCCAGTCTCCTGGGTTCTAACTCAAGCAGGCGTGCCTCCCAGGGGCACTTGCAACTGCCTCTGGCCTTGCCTTTGGCATGGAGGATATAGGTTATTATCCGTGTGCCCAGAGAAGACGGTATCTTCCATGGCTGCTGTCCTGAGGCTCTCTGGGAACTCAGGCTAACAGTGTCAATTATAGACAAGCCTGTTTTGGAACTACCCATCCCAACCTCTGTGGGTGCCTGGAACCCACAGAGTGGCAACATTGTCACACTATTCTTGGCTAGGGCACAGATGTCTGGCAGATAGGTGGGCTGTTTCTTGCAACTTTGAGCATGTTCTCCCATGACCATCAGGATGCTACAAAATGGGAGGAGAGCTGAAGGGAGAGCTGAGGAAAGTTAACGAATAGAACATCTTTCTTAGAGGGAGGATGGCCAGGCAAGGGTACCATCTGTAGGCTTCTATTGGCAGGGACATTTCCCTACTCAGTTTATCTCTGAGGAAGGGCTGGGGATTCACCAGCTGCCATTACTGCTTGTGGTGAAGTATGGTTCTGATTTCCAGTATGCTTGAGTCAGGAGTCCAGCTGTTTCTTTTGCCCTAAGAAAGTTCGGGACCTTCCCGCCCTTTGATAAAGGAGTGCAAAGAGGCGCTAGCATCTCTGTGCCCGCAGGCCCAGATCTCTTTCCACTTTCCTATGCTGTGCCTGGCAGGGAGGATTAACTGTCTGGGCCTGTGTCCGTGGACATGGATCCGTCATTACAGTATCTGTTCAGTGAAAGGTCATTGCAGTCTCTGTTCAGTGAAAAAGGGCCAGTGTAAGCAGTGTGTATGCTGTGACCTGGGTGTGGTAACCCTGAGGCTCTGCTTCACCTCTGCCGGGTGCCACGCAGATTCACTCTGTATCTGTTGGAACATTTTTATTTAGTTTTTAAAATCAGATGCATTTAAAATAAAAATAAATGTAGTCTGTCCTCTTGTAATCCCAGAGGAAAACAAATGTTGAAACAGTGAGAACTATGTTCTTACTGTGAAAAGTACACAGATTCCACTAGGTTGTGTAAATGTGAAACAGGAGTCATGTGCGGCTCTGTTTGGTCTTGGACAGCGTGAAAACCGCCAGGCCTTTTTATCCAGATGAAAAATAAGAACCCGGCATGGCCCCTGTTGTTTCAGTCATGCTGGGCATCTGTTAGAGCACATCTGAATTTCAGGGATGTAAGTTTGAGATGGTCCTGGGACTCGAGGAGCTTAAGATGCAGAATGATGCTTAGCATGCTTAGTCATCATGAAGCATGGGATAAATCTGGGCTGGGGTGTAGCTCAGCGGCAGAGTGCTTGCCTGGCATGCATATGACTCCAGCTACCAACTCCAGCACTGCATTTATAAAGAGACAAGCTGCATATGGTGGTTTGTAATCCCAGCGCTTGGGAGGCAGAGGTGAGACAGTTGCTGTGACTGAGGCCAGCGTGGGCTACAGAATGAGGCTTTGCCTCTGTGACCCTGAACTAATAAAAAGAATAGCTAGATATGAGCCCACGTTCTTGTAATCCCTATGATTAGAAGGAACATAGGATCGGGGAGCTCAAGGCCATCCTCAGTTACATGGGAAGTTCAAGGCTACCCTGGGCTCATCACAACCCTGTCTCAAACAGTAAAAGACAAATAGACGAAAAACACCATATGGGGAGTTGCTCCTTTTAAGAAGTCCTAGCAGTGGTGGTATAGGCCTTTAATGCGCAGCACTCAGGAGGCAGAGGGAGGCAGGTCTATAGAGCAAGTTCTCGGACAGTAAAGGCTATACAGAGAAACCCTGTCTCAAAAACCAAACCAAGCAAACAAACAAAAAGTCCTGTAGGATCCTGCTGTGGGGTCCAGGCCTTTAATCCCACCACTTGAAGGTAGAGGCTGGAGAATCTTTGTGAGTTCGAGGCCGTCCTGGTCTACACATTGAGCTACAGGACAGCCAGGCTCACAGGGAAACCCTGTCTCAAAACAAACAACTCCTACCTCAAAACAAAACAAAACAATGCCAGAATTAAAAAAGAAATTCAGTAGGGGCAGATACAGTTATGTGCCTAAAATCCGGGTTCTCAGGAAGCTGGGATAGGAGAATCAAAACTTTGAAGCCTGCCTGGGCTACACAGCAGATTTTATCTCAAAAACAAAGAAACAAACCAAAACCAAAACACAAAAAAGAGAGGGAGCCTTTATTCTGTTGTGCCTACTTCCATTTTCATCACTCTTTTTAGTTAGCATGCAGAATAGTATATTTCATGATGACATTTTTACACATTCTTACCTTTCTGCTTATTCATACTCCCTCCTGCTATGTCCACAACAATAAAGAGAGCCTTTAAAATGAAGCCGGAAGCTCTTGTCCAAGGCACTCTTAGGAAAAAGTATCCTTTTGACTTCTCTTGTTTTGTTGTTGTGTAACATTTTGGAATTACAGCCTGCAAAATTCTAAGTGTCTACCTTCACGGATTGGAGAGCGTACCCTTCAGTGTTGGTTTGTCTGTGCGCATCAATCCTGTTCCTCTGGCTTTAGCTTTATCTACACAATGCGCCTTCCATTTCCCTGCCAGTACCTAGAGCTCCGCATCTTAGTTTCCAGCGATTGTCCCTGCTGTCACTGAGTTCTGTGCTACCCTGTAGTAGAGACAGACTGTCATTCATTCACCTACTTTCCCACTCAAGGATGTTCAGGTTGGTCTCCACCTCTTCCCTTTGTGAGCACTATTGAAATGTATAGTCTGTATATGTATTTCTGTGAAAATAAGTTCCGGAAAGTGGAATTTCTAGGTCCCAGGATTAGCATGTTTAATTTTTTTCTTTTTAAATGTTTTTTGAGACAGCGTTTCTCTGTCTGTAGCCCTGTCTGTCCTGAACTCACTTTGTAGACCAGGCTGGCCTCAAACTCAGATATCCACCTGCCTCCGCCTCCCTGAGTGCTGGGATTACAGGTGTGTACCACCACGCTCAGCTGCATGTTTTAAATTTTAATATCTGCTTTCAAGCAGACTCCTGGAGTGGAGTTCACTATCTTCAGTTAATAGTCCCAGTAACATGTCTGAAAGTTCCTTTTTCATACCCCCTTCAAGACATCATTCATCTTTAACATATTCTTAATGTGTGTTTGATTTGATTTGTTTGTTTGAGTGTGTAGGTTGGCTTTCTGAGCTGGTCTCCTCAGCCGCATGGGTTCTGAGGAAGGAACTTTCTTATCACTTGTCTGTAGACATGGAGACATCTTGCCGATCCTCTTTCATCTTCTACGTATTTGTGTTTCATTTCTTCAAGGTCTCACTATGCAGCCCTGGCTGGCCTGGCATTGCTGTGTTTCATCTTTTAAACATTAGGCAGTTTGTCTGGACAGTGGTGGCATTTGAACTTGCTGTGTAGCTCAGGCTGGCCTTCACTCCCTATCCTCCAGCTTTCACCTCTCAAGTGCCAAGATGGATGTGTTTCACCATCCCTGGCCCTGACATCACTGTGTCTTTTCAGAATTGCTTCCTTGTATTGTTTATCTAGTTTTCCTTTGTGTTGCTTTCTCCTCCTCCTCCTCCTCCTCCTCCTCCTCCTCCTCCTCCTCCTCCTCCTCCTCTTCCTCCTCCTCCTCTTCCTCCTCCTTCTCCTCCTCCTCCTCCTCCTCCTTCTTCTGCTGCTGCTGCATCTTCTTCTTAATCTTATTCTTCTTCATGTTTTGTAAAAATCTCTTTGAAAAATACAAATAATCTTTCTGTAGGAGTAAAGGATATACCTAGGGTTTTTAGATTTTAATAATATGGTCCATGAATAGGCTCCAGAAAATTATGCACTTAGACCCCAAGCGAATGTGTACATACAGTTCTGTTCAGGGGCATTGGCTTGCAGAGTGTCTGTTGCTTTCAGCATCACTGTCTCTCTCTCTCTCTCTCTCTCTCTCTCTCTCTCTCTGTGTGTGTGTGTGTGTGTGTGTGTGTGTATGTGTGTGTTTCTCGTAGCTCCGGGCTGTCACTTCAGGCTATTTGTGAATGGGCACTGTGTAAAGCACTTGGTAAGAGGGAGCCATCGTTGTAAGGGAAGTATAGGGCTTGTCCTCTGGCTTTTATTATCTTGGACCTAGAGTACAGGGGTCAGTGAGCTGCTATCCCAAGCCATCTCCAGACCTCTGCCTGTTCATATAAACAAGGCTTGCCTGAACCACATCATGCCTGTTTACTCACATACTGTCTGTGGATGCTTTCATGCCATAGGGGTTTCAGGCTGTCATGACAGAGACCATATGGCCCATAGAGAAATGTTTACTTTCTGGTTCTAAATGGAAAACATTTGCCAACCTTTGGTCTAAAGGCTCTGAGAAGCCACACTGTTCTTCACCTGAGGGCAGAGCATCAACACCCCTCAGACCCCCAGGTCGTACAGGCCAGTTCTCTAGACACTTTTTGAGTTGCCTTTTCCACCCCCTAGGCTGGCAGGATCTGCTCGGACATTCCCTGGTCCCACGAGGCTTCCCATGGGACCTCATCTCTCCTCAGAGGGAGTAGGAAGCGGGTCAGTGAGGATAGGCTGACGCTGTTAGGCAGTGTTCCTGGGCTGGTGACGCTTTCTGCTGAGCTGTGCTAAATGTGGTTCTGACACAGCCCAGGCCTTTAAAAAGCAGAACTGTCAGGACCAGCTCCTAGAGACACAGCGCTGGCCATACAGTGGCACTTTCTGTTTGTGTCCCCCATCTGTGTTTTCATTTTGGAGACAAAGAAGTTTTTAAGGTTGCCTTTAGAACTCTCTAAATCAAATCTGCAAGGACTTTTAAACAGAGAATGCCTCCTTGATAACCTGGGAATGTGGGGGAAATGTGTTGTCAGGGAAACCCTCA